ACCCTCGCAAGCTACTCTCACACATTTTGAAAACGGCGCAAGGTGTGCGTAACCCTACGGAACAGCACTTTCCATTCAAAGCGCTCGCGCTATTTCAAGAGAGGCAACACATCGATGTCACAGTAAATATCTGTGCGCAGATCGCAAACTAAGTCGCTCGTATTGATTATTCAGTGAGAGGTGACGTCCCCCGTTCCTGTGACTACCACATGGACCTCCATTTTACAGTGGGGAAGCTCGAGGTGGCACTAGCTCTCTGCAGGCGTTCAACTTCTTCGAGCCCAGACGGTATACCGTACCGAGCCTTGTGCAGCCTTGGGGAAGGTGCAAGGAGAGAACTGTTGAGCCTTTACAACATCTTGTGGCAGGATGGCAGTGTTCCTAATAACCGGAAAGAAAGCCGCTTGTTACCCATCTTGAAGCAGGGCGAATCCCATTCGAACTTCCTCATACCGCCCAATAGCACTGGCCAGCATGCGTAAAGAAGATAATAAAATGGATTATTTTAGGCCACCTTGAGTGGTATCTTGAATACTACAAGACTTATCTGAAGTCCATGGCTGATTTTTGACGCAACAGCTCTTCCATTGACAATGCTGTTGATCTAGCTTCGTACGTTCAGCACCAAAGATCCCTGTAAGCGACTATCTACAGCTTTGTTTCTAGATGCGAAAGGCGCGTAGGATAATGTACTACGTGAAGCATTTTGGGTGGTCTTACAGGTGGTTGGCCTTGGTGGACGAGGTTTTTGGTGGATTTCAAGTTACCTGGCTGCAAGATCATTTTTTGCGTTAACAGAAGGTGGTCCAACTACGCGACGCTATACTTCCAGGGGTGCTCCTCAAGGCGCAGTTCTTAGCCTCACGCTCTTCAATCTTGCACCTATTGACCTTGCTGAATACTTGCTAAGCACCATTAAAATCTCAATATACGCAGACTGACATCTGTGTCTGGACTTCAGCAGTCGCACGTCTTCAGATTCGTCCCCGGCTTCAGAGAGCAGCAACCATAATTGCCAACTGATTGTTAAAACAAGGTCTCAGCATATCACCAGAAAAATGCGCGCTGGCGGCCTTCACTCACAAAGCAATGGACCCCTTATGTCATCTCAATCTGCGAGCGACCTATTCCTTACACCAGAACTCCCCTCGTTCTGGGTATCATTATTGATAGGGACCTCTGTTGGAGTCCGCATGTGGCCTAAATGAAGAACCGCCTCACCACTATTTCCCAATTGTTCATGTTCCTGGCAGGAAAGACGTGGTGGATGTCAATAGACGCTATGATGGAACTCTTTAGAGCCCTGTTTCTTGGTTTCCTTAGATATAGCTCGCCGATGCTTAGCAATACCTGCAATACCAATGTTCGTGTTCTACAGGCAGTACAAGCCCAAGCACTGAGAGTGTGCTTTGGCTGTCCAGATGTACGTCAACAGAGGCAACAATTGCAATTGCTGGTGACTATCCGATACAAACTCACATTGTTTTAGAAGTCCTGAAAACTCACATTAGACACTTAGCACGTGCTCCCTGCCATCATTTTGCACTGTTGCCTTCAGAGAGGCGCCAAGCATTGTTCTCTAAAATGATTGTTAAGTTCAACGAGAAACTTCCCTCGGGCTTCACGCCTGCATCTAAACCATCGATATGCCCTTGGTGTCTAATTCGATCACACAGTGAATCTTAGTGTACCAGGGATCCGGAGAAAATCGGAGCTTTTATCTCCCGTGCTGAAGCAACTCTCTTTTTCTTTTGCACGACAAATATACAGAAAGTGTGCATGTATATACCGATGGCTCCACGAACCCCCAGTGTTCGTAAGGTGCAGTAGTTGTCCCAGAAAGACGTGTTACCATCGGCTTTAGAACTGACCACTCCAAGGCATCTATAGCAACTGAAATAGCTGCTTAGCGCACTGCACTTTGTGTGGTCAATCAACAACCACCGCAACAATGGTCGAATTTCAGCGACTCAAGGGCTGTCCTACAATCTGCGCTCCCAGCACTGCGTCGCGGGCCGTACGAACAGCGCGTATTCGAAATTCGACTCGAAATTCGAAATTCTACACTTCACATGAGAAAGGACATCATGTGACGTTTCAGTGACAGCCAATTCACTGGGGCGTCATAGGAAACGAACATCCCGATACTGCCGCGCAGGCACCTCTTGAAGGAACACGAGAAGAAGCCATACCACTTTTCGCGGGCCGATGCAGCCAGTAATCTTTGATGACTTGCGCATGAAATCACTTTTTCACTATGATGCCCACCAAGCAACCAGAAGAATCATCAATACCACCTGTCCGTCCTCTTTGATGGGTCTCCGCATGTCCATTGGGCTCGACCGAAGGGGAGCCACTTTTCTTCATTGCTTACGGCTAGGAGTGGCATTTACAAAATCTCCTTTTTTGTCATAGGAATGGCTGACGACGCTCTCTGCGATGCCTGTCGTTGCGAAGAGACGCTACACCACATCCTGTGCGACTGCCTGTTTATGACATCCAGAAACAGTCACTGGCGTCCGTTCTTATGCGCATCGACAACAGCCAAATATCTATGGACACTATTCTGTCAAGTGCCCGAAAGAAGACTTTGGAACAGGAGGTGACAAAACCTCTGTTGAAATTCCTACGCGACACGGACTTGAGCAAGCGGCTGTAACAGCAATGTCACACACCGCGAAAGACAAGACTGGACTATGACTGAGTGTGCGCACGTGTGCTGCTAAATGTGCTGTGTTATCCCTCTTCCCTTTCTCCAGTCTATCTTTCATCTCCCCCATACTCCTATCATGCGCAGGGTAGCAAACCGGCTGCCGATAGGCTGGTTAACCTCCCTGCCGTTCTTGTCCTACTATTTTCCTTCCTTGCCTAATGTTCACCACAGTGAAGTTATCATGGACCTATATCGTCGTCAATGGCAATGCCGTGGATTTTGAAATTGTATATCGCGTTGAATCAGCTGTGGTTGTAGTCTGCTACACAACGTAATTGTGATGATCACACTTTTTCTCTTAGATTACATTCACTGTTCGAAGTGGCTCTCAATTTTCGAGACAGTTTTCAAGCAGTACATTGCACAGCAAAGCAGTGCGAGAGCCCTACACGTGCACGCAACTGAGCGGCAGCGCTGTGGTGAGAAAAGAGAACGCACGACATTAATTTCCAGTTTTCATTATTCCACCAAAGCTGCCACTGGCCATTTAGATAGGCACCTGCGCCGTGCTCCCGACCAGGTTGCAGAAATTAGGTGCCTTTTCTCATCTTCTAACCATTACCACCCCCACCACTACCATCTAGACTCACGGCACCACTAAGCCATGTTTGTGGAGCCTATTGGGAGTGAGGGCGACTACTGAATACGCCAAAACTGCTTTCGCTGTGACGTAGTAAACGCCATCGAGTGCCTCGCATTTGCTTTTAACCCATAGCCAGCTCATGTTTAACTTACACACTTGTTTATAAGTTCGTTGCTGCAGCACCGGATGTATTCGAGTTAACCTGAAAGTAATTCAGCCCTTCCAAACCCTCGCTGCACCGATACACTTCACTGATAAAACTGAAATTCGCCAAACAGCTGAGCATTCACCGTAAGCTTTGCAGCCCTCGCCGTGGCCACTTCTTTTTAGCGTGCGAGCATTCACAAAGATTTTGCGTTGCAGATGTGAAATTGGTGCAGATGAAATGTTGATTATGTAAACGGTGTACTTCGCGGATCTGTAGGCAAAAAAATTGAGTGAATTTATTTTTTACTAAGCTACAAAGAACTATTTTCGAAGCGTGGAATCACAATAACCATTCTAGTCGGCCCTTTTATTGTTAAAAAAACGCATGATGCGGTATCTACTGCTCGCCTTGGTGTGAGTTCTCGCACATACGCTAAAACCAAGAAGGTTCCTCTTCAATAAACAGCCCAAAAATTGAACAACCCAACACTGAATAACACGTGTGCTGCTGGCAATTTTGCGAAAATACATTTTTTGTACTGCGTTGAGGTTGATACCTGATGATTGCGACTTGGGACTTTTCGGAAATGTACCACGTAAGAATTCACAATTTATTCGCGCCAGGACGACAGGCCATTTCCTGCTGTCTGCAGCTCAGGGCGGCGAAAATGATTCTGTACTAATGCTGTGAATTTCCCTTGCATATTATGACGCTGCAGCTAAGACAAACCCGACCGACGCTTGTGAAGCAATAACATGCATGGCAGAATAGACTGAATTACAGGAGTTGACGAACACGTCTCACAGCCAGTACCACGTGAAGTAGTTTTATACGTCACAGATGGATTCAGGCTGATGGTGCGGCGGTATGTCTTCGCACCCAATAACCTGGGGTATCTGGCGGAGAAGTGAACGCGCGAAGGCATCGAATGAAGAGCAGGTGCCAATTGCACGAGCAAGCGCGCTTGAGATTTCACAGGAATCGGCTGCGAATTGCTGCATACGTGCTGTACGCGTTGTGATAAGACTCGCACACTAGGGAATCCGGCATTTAGGAAGAACCACCGTTAACGGCTGCCGAAAGTACACGTCATGTACACTGCGAATCAACCACACCGCCAAACCGTGAGGCAGTAGGATCTGCCTGATAAAAAAATATCAACCATTAGGCCGTGGAATTTTGTTGCGTAGTGTATAGGAATCATTCTTTTGTTAGAACGAATTCTAAAAGCAGTGACCGAGTCTAACTGACGAGAAACCTGCTGCGAAATAAGTAGTGTTCTATCTCTGCGCAGGCGATACCATGCACGGTTATATTCACCAGCAGGCACCGTCTATCTCAACGCACCTCAATGTAACTTCAACTGATTGAGCGCTGTCGATTGAACCACATGACGTATGAGCACGTGCAATTCAACTATTTATATCTCGCTCACTGTCAGCGTTTTTTTTTCGTACCAGAGAACGACCATCTGAGGTTACAATAATTTAGCACGCAATGGGTAGAAAATCGCACAGCTGCACAGGTTCGTAAACATAGTGTGCTTTTCTTTCCAGAAAAGAAATTATAGAGAAATCCCACGAGGACCCAGATGATTTGGGAGAGAACTTCCTGCGACTTTTCAGAGAGAAAATTCGAGCGTCGTACCACAGTTTGGATCCAGTGCTGGAGTGTAAGAACGCTCATTCTTTTTACTAACTTGCCCCGTTGTCTCTTGTATACGTCATAGTAAATGTTTAAAAACGGAACTATACATGCTGTCGATCTGTAACAAAATAAAGCGACTAAACATAAAATTAAGACGCATTGGCGTTCATGTTTTCAGTGACCTCTTCCTCACCTTTTCAATTGGGTTATTGATGGAACTATCTCGAGGAGCTGGCTGAGCATAATTAAAGGTAAAATGCTCTTAGAGACGAGAAAACATGCAACCAAGAAAATCATTTCCAGGTTTCTTTCGTATGTTTTACGAGCATACGTTCAGTATTAGATGCGAAGCATTTCTTAGTGAACTTCGGCGACTTTGAGCGTATCTATCTATCTCTCTGTCTATCTATCTATCTATCTATCTATCTATCTATCTATCTATCTATCTATCTATCTATCTATCTATCTATCTATCTATCTATCTATCTATCTATCTATCTATCTATCTATCTATCTATCTATCTATCTATTTATATCTAGCCGCCAACGACCTTTAGCTCTCCTGGCCGTTTCAATAATGCTGTCGATACCAACTTGGTATGGCATAACGTGATTGTAGGAAGAATATATTTGACTACTCATGACATGAAAATCATCACAAATATGTCATGAATATCATGATTTACATTTCATAGTCCTGCAGCTCTTGCGTTGGTTTCGTTTAAATGGCATGTTTCAAAACTGGTATGGTATGACATGATTGAATGGCGTACACAAGCGACAGACGGTAACATGAAATTATGATATGCGTGTCATGTAACAACATGACTGCATGTCACGCTTATGATGTGGTTGCGGCTGTTTTGCTAGCGTCACATATACCAAATTAGGTATTACAGTACGTGGATGGATGACGAAGGTATGTTACTGGTGCAAACATTATAATCATGAAATGCGAGTCATGTGTCAACAGGACTATATGCCATGCTCTTGATGGGCTGGCGGCCGTTTCGCTAGCTTCACTTATACGAAATTTGGTATTACGAGACGTGAATAGATGACGAAAGTATGATACTAGTGCAAACTTGATAAACATGCGATGCGTGTCATGTAACAACAAGACACCATGCTACACTCATGACGCGCTCGCGCCTGTTTCGCTAGCTTCACATGTACAAACTCGTATTACGCAATGCGAATAGACGACATAGGTTAATGACACATCGAAGCATGCTAATCACGACATGCGTGTCATGTAACAACGTTACTACATGCAACACCCATGATGCGCTCGAGGCCGTTTCGCTGGCTTCACATTTTTCAAATTTGGTATTAGGTGACGTCAATGGATACCGAAGGTATATGACGTGCAAAAATGATAATCTTGAGATGCATGTTATGTGAGAACATGACTACATGCCACAGTCAAGGCGCCAATACGTTTCGACGTGAGGCAACGCGCGTGCTCGCTCGGCGTTTATTTCGCCGCGTCACGCTAGCGTTGCGACGGCACGCGCCGGTTTTGCCATGTACTCACAGGTGTGCGCTGCGCTGCGTTTCTCGGACGCATGTGCGTTTCAGCGCATCCAGCGTCCCTCCGCCACGAATAGAGGGAGACGCAGTGTTGTCTTGGTAACCCATCGGCGCGAATTTCGCGCCGGTTGCCGTCGGGCCGCACCGACGGGCGCGGGTAGCGCCGATCGCGCATGGCGTCAGACTATAGAGTTATCACGTTTTCCTAACGTAGCATCGCTGTGCCCAGCGTGCGCACGCGTCAATGCTACTTCGGAGTATATCGGGCCCTTCATGATGCGCTCGCAGCCGTTTTCCTCGCTCCACTTATACCGAATTGGGTGTTACGTGACGTCAACTGATGGCGAAATATATGACTGGTGAAAACATGGTAATTCTGACACGCGCGTGTTATGTAGGAACATGACAACATACCACGCTAATAGCGTGCTCGCGGCCGTTTCGCTAGCTCAACACTTACTAATTTGGTATCACCTGTCGTGAATAGATGACGAAATAAAGGACACTTCAAAACATGTTAATCATTACAAGAAAGTCATGTACGGCATCATTTACCTCTACCTCGTAACTTTGTGCCTATTATAAAGTGACATATCAACCTTTTTTAGTGCTTCTCATATCACCGATTCCCACTGTACGTGGGATCTACCAAATTTTATTGCAAGGAGGAGCTCTTAAAATTGTGTTTGTGCCAGCCAAGCTCTTCCTAAATGTAATGAAAAATAAATACCATGTGTTTCGACTGCACGTGAAATAGTTATCAAGAATTGTCATTATGACGACGTGGCGTATAACTCAAGTATTTTTGAACATTGAAACTTCCAGGAAGATTATGTATTAACCTGGGGTGTGTGACGTAGAATTTCTTGTCCATTTGACGGAGGTTTTCATGTTATACTTATAAAAATTTCGCATATGTGCGGCTGTTCAGTAAAAATACGGTAATTCAGTGAATGTTCACAATTAAAGAACAGCTTGATGTCTAAGCGAGAAGAAAAGTTATAAACCTAAACTTCAGTTTTTTTTATTCGGAAAAGCCGATCGTTTACAACCTGTTTAGTGAGAATGGCAGTAAATGACTCAAGTTTCCTCTGAACACTTATCTGAAATGGCATTATCGAGCCTGCAATGATTTCAGTGGGAAAAATTAAAGGGGGTAACGAAAATATCAGGTCACGGTTAAGTTGTAATACAAAGTAACTTTAGAATATTCGAAATAATCTGTTACACCTATATTGGTAGCTGTATAGCTTATCTGTGTATTCAGGAGAAGTTCTTTTTAATATTTCAAAAAAAAAAACACACAATACACGGCATTACAATTATTAGCAACATATTGTATGTTTCGCAATTCTGTAAGTTTCGCTGGCACCTGACCAAACTGATTAAAGGTGCCTGACTTGATTTATTGACGAGGCGGCCTGGGGATGAGACCAGCGCCGGTATAGCCGAATACTGCGTAAAAACAAAACATCATCAGTCGCGGAACATTCGGGCACAAGCTTCGTGATGACTACGTATTTAGTGCGTGCTCTAGACATCGCAGTTTCAACGGATATTACCCCAAACCGCGCCATTGGTAGTTGGCGAGGGTAAATAAGGTGACAAAAACACTCTAAGAAAGTTTATCAGTTTGTACTTACTTGTCCTGGGAACATTTCGGTGGACTTTCGTGCCCCGCCGCGGTGGTCTAGTGGCTAAGGTACTCGGCTGCTGACCCGCAGGGCACGGGTTCGAATCCCGGCTGTGGCGGCTGCATTTCCGATGGAGGCGGAAATTTTGTAGGCCCGTGTGCTCAGATTTAGGTGCACGTTAAAGAACCCCAGGTGGTCTAAATTTCCGGAGCCCTCCACTACCGCGTCTGTCATAATCATATAGTGGTTTTGGGACGTTAAACCCCACATATCAATCAATCAATCAATCGGTAGACTTTCGTCCAGGTCCTTACAGAATTTTCAGTTCAGCTCTATATCAAAGACCACAACAATATTTATTATGCAGGCATTCGTAACATAATCTAAGAGAACATATATCTTTACTACTTCTTTGCAGGAATAAGTTTCATAGGAGTATCTGAAGCGTTTTAATATGCAAATCATTATCGAAGCCTAATCTGTATCTTACGATGTGCCTCACGACAACGGAAATGATGGCATAAACGTTCATTTTTAGTGTGATTTCTTTTCACGCATGTATGCATTCTTAAAGAACACGTGGGCTAGGCAGCCTTAACACTGCATGTTTGACTACAGCACGCGAACGAAGAAGAAAAAATGAGAAACACACGCAGGAGTGTTCACTCGCAACTGAAAACAATTGTTTTAGAACAGACCAACGCAAAAGCCATAATAACTTCAATAAACGTATCAACAAGGTGCACAAGTCTTGAAATTGAATTGAAAAAGTAACACAGTGCATCACCTAACGGTGTACGTGCTGATAAGATAGGTGAACCCTTTGTCCGCGACAGAAATTGATGTCTCACATCTACGTCACCCACTCAACGTGGAACCCTTCTATGGCTTCTTTATTAGCTTAGGAACTGTTCTGTGACAAAATATCTGAATCGGCGAACAAAAATCAACACGTCTTCCGTTAGGCGAAATGCTATGTAACTGGGTACCCTCAATTCTAACACTTCCGCACACTGATACGTTTGCTCCTGTTTTGTTGTTGTCATGTTCACAATATTACCAAGGTATAAGTTTTTGCATCCCGAAACTACGTTATGAGAGATAACGTAGGAGAGGTTCTAGAAATCTTAACCATATGATGTTCCTAAACGTGCACTGGCATCGCACCAATCACGGACCATTTCGCCTCCATTGAAAAGCGACCATCGCAGTCTGAATCGACCCTGTGGCCTTCGCGCCAGCAACCGAGCCCCCTAGTTACCGTTACATCGAGGCGGACGATTCTTACTTTCATTTCCTCTGCAAATAAGTCTTTTCTATGGCTAGACTGAGCAGGTGGGTGGCCCTTGTGTGCTCATTCGTATTTATCCTTCTCACGCTGTACTAAAACATGCTGCCTTAACAACTAACCATACTTTCAATACTATCAAAAGTTGAACGCTTTCTGCCTCACGACTGTTTGGTGCAGTTATGTTGAGCGCAAACTTTGTAACCTTCTTAACTTCCTTTTAGACACATCTCTGGTGGGCAACGTGAAGTCCTTGATTGGAGCAGGAGTGGTGACGGCAAGCTCTTCGCTGCCTGTTCCACCTAGCGAATTTCGCAGCCCATGCAGATACTCTACAGGATCGGGTGCAGCGAGAGATAGACGATGTAATTGGTCCTGATAGGGAGCCGACGTGGAGTGACCGAATGCGCATGCCCTTCACACTCGCCTGCATCTATGAGGCTGAGCGCTGCGGTGAATCTGTGCCTCTCGGCTTACCTAGAGTGTGAGTATTACTATGGGAACCCTCCTAAATGTGAACCACTGGTATATTCTGCTGCAAACAACAGCGCTTTTTATAACTTGTACATATGTCGTATATACCAAGAAAATTGGCACTCTCAAGGGTGCAATCGAGTGTTTTCTCAACTGTCTTGCGCACACAAGAAATGCTTTTCGAGAGGATTGGCATAACTGCATAATTTTGTGTTGGTGGTATAGACACACGCTTTGGAAACAGTGTGTTAGCTAGTACGACACGCTTTTGGAAACAGTGGGTTAGCTAGTAATTACATCGACACACTGTGATATGTGTCTGATTATCATATCTGTAAGCAGCTACACAACCAATATACATGAAGTCCCATGACACATTTCAAGAGATATTTTAAAACTAAACTGAATTTAACACGCCGACCACTAAGCTTGGTGTGGAAATTTGTGACTCGCAGCTTCGGTTGTGTGGCGTGATGCCTTAGTGTTTTTGTTGTTACTACGCCTTTACCGACCAGCGGCTCATAAGCAATTTCTTAGCCGTACGCACCAAATACTAGAATCACCACGCAAGGCGCCGCGTCCTCACTTGTTTCATTGCGTTCTTTACCGTCCATACTGCTACTCACGCGAGCTCCGATCATCACTGCGACAAGATAACAAGTCGACGCGCACTGCGAGAGAGACCCTCAGTGACTCTCTCCAAATCGGTGGTTTAATAATGGGAAGATAGTGCAATGAGAATGATTATTTGTACACTAGGCAACACAACTATGCAGGGCACCCTTTAGCTAATACAAGTTAAAAAACATGTGCATTAGTGGCCGTGAATGGTGAATTTATAAAATACAAAGAACCAACATTGAAGCATAAACCTAATAATACGTCAGCGCTCTCGTGATAACGCGCCCAAGATCAGAAAAAACATAACTGACACAGGAACAGTTAAGATGGACATGTGGTGCGCGACCGCAAGACGCTGCTGTTGGAATTTGATGGCATAAATTAGCGCGCGCCAACCGAGCCTATAGGCCTAGACGAGAGGACGTAACCACCGGCCACCAACGAAGAACAAAAAACGAAGGAGTGCCGTTGACCGGACCGGCCTAAACGCACCCTCTGAGGTCTCAAAGCGGTATTTTGTCACCCTATCTCCCACATTCGCTTATCGAACGAGTCCCACCAAGGCCCGAATCCTGCCAAAATTAGTCGAATGGGATAACGCGAATTACATGTTTGAGGGTTGCGGTGGCAGCAAAATGAAGGAAATTTATGACCAGCTGTTATTCGTGTGCTTGCGAACAAAGGGTTGCGAGCGCTCTGCAAAAAAATAAAATAAGGAAGTGCGTCGGCGAATCGGTTGTGTGTGCCTGGATTTCCACAGCTCTTTTCCCCATGGCAGATGCAATAATCAAGCGTTTTTACGAATTATAATATTATAGTCCCTACGGTCACCATCAAGTTCAAACCACCACACCACTAAATGACGTGGCATCGTGTTGAAATGTCGCGGTCGGTTGCTGTTACCTTCTCCCGTTTAACTCTGGGCCATCGGCAGGGCCCTGTCAAACAATTTCGGTTTGTCCTTGCTGAAAATAAGCAGGATATTTCTGCAAATATATGCGTTTTCATCAGAATAACAGTTGGTGCATGGTCGCCGTAAGCTTGGCTCAGGTTGGCCAAATTCCTTTTCTCTATCACAGCTCCGCGAATGGAGCAGGGCTTGTAAGTTCAAAGTTGCTCGCATATCTGCGTTCATGTTGGTTGGTGCTCAAATACGCAGCCAAAAAAAAAATTGGCTGAACCGATTTGAGTATCCAATTGATTAACTTGCTAATTTGTTTCTAGTATAGTAAATATTCAAAGTAGAACGCGCACTCTTTCGAAATGTGGAGTATTCCCTAAATATATCTATCCTTTGAAAGCAATGTGTTCTGCCATGAAGTATTTTTTAACTTCTCGCCGACTATTTCGAAGCTCTGCAGCTCAAGTATTTCACTAATATGGGAATGTGCTTCTCAACTAAGCTTTGACAGTGTACACAATACTCTGGGTTCGCCTGATATGCTACGTGAATGTACTTATTACGACCGCCTAATACTAGCAAAGTTTCCACATACAATACATTTAGCTTTTGAATTAGTGTTATTGTGAAATGTATGTAACATCATTGTCTTATACACACTTGTTTCCATGCGTACAAGTTTCTGTAGTGCTCAGCAACGTAAGTTTAATTTATGGCGTTACAGTGCATACGTGCACATGTCAATGGTTTCAGCAACTGATCAGGAAATGTAAAAGGCAATGAAGCGCTTTATAGGTTGTCTAAACTAAAACTTCAGGCAATTCAGCTGTTCAATACACAGTTATTTTAACTATCTTTAGTAGTGCAATCAGCTTCTTGAACCATGTGTTGTCACAATTACCTGCCACTGCCAAGCGTCCGCTGCACCTAATAGCTCTCTCATGGAGTCAAGAGAAACTAGAGCAGTATAGTTCATCAAGCATGCTCAGTGTTAAGAGTAAGTCTTCTTCTTCATGCCATTACTGCAGCAAAGTGAGTCATATTGACAACCTGGTGTGGTGATACAAGCGCACTAATTGCAAAAAAATAAAAATAAAAAGTCAATATAGCATATTATAAAAAAGGGATTCGCCACGAACGCGTAAAATACGTGGTTTTGCTGATAGATAAGGTATTGCACAATGAAGTTTTTTGTGTTCTTTACGTTTTTTCACAAGAAAATGAATGAACTGATGAATGCTGACGCGTGCGACAACAGCCGAGACGTCGACACTGTGAAATTGGTAGTTAGGTATGGCAGTATAGCTCCGTGTAAACCGACTCCACCCCATTGCCTTCTTTTTTTTATGCGTGGAAGATTCCAAGTGTATGACGAGTGATGTGAAGCCCGACAGGAGGAGAAGAAAATTTATATGGGCAGATAAGAATACAAACTGATTGATTGAGTGATTTGTGGGGTTTAACGTCTCAAAACCACCATATAATTATGAGAAACGCCGTAGTGGAGGGCTCCGGAAATTTAGACCACCTGGGGTTCTTTAACGTGCACCCAAATCTGAGCACACGGGCCTACAACATTTCCGCCTCCATCGGAAATGCAGCCGCTGCAGCCGGGATTCGATCCCGCGACCTGCGGGTCAGCAGCCAAGTACCATACCCACTAGACCACTGCAGCGGGGCGAGAATACAAACTGGGTGAGGACATCTCGCTGAAACCGCACACTGATTCATATTTAGTGGAGAGGTAAACTTCCCTTCCCAGTTGAAGTAGTTAGGCTCCTGGTGACAACGAGAGAAAACTTTCGTGTTAGAGATAAACAAGACAGCAATAAAACATTCAGTTTTTAAGTCCGTTTTGTAAATATTCTCACATCATTTCGTGTCAGCAGTGCTTAACGCTGTTTACGGTTAACGTCGGAAAACCTGGATATGGTTATCAGAGATGTCTTAATGGAAGGCCCCGGAAATTTCGACTACTGGTATGTAAGTACACATGCCTCAAGTATTTTTACCAATTGAAGATGCGGCTGCTGAAGCCGCATTTCAACATTCGGGTGAGCAGTCGAGCAAGGTAAACCAGTAGCACACTTCGGCGGGTCCCTTGATGATACTGTAATGTCACCTGTGAGTGCTTCGACAATTTCAATGCGAGTCTTCCAGCATGAACTGGTTCCTATTATACACATTTTCTTTCTATTTTCTGCCCACAGGTGCAACGAAGACACAGTGGTAGACAAATACTTCATACCGAAGGGAACACTAGTTCTCATGAACTTGTGGGGCATAAACAACGATCCGCGCTATTGGAAAGACCCACAACGCTTCAATCCGTTGCGATACCTGAGTGCAGATGGGTCCTTCTCGCATCAAACAACAAAGCGTCATGCTGCATTCTCTAGTGGTGAGAAGCCCATCCACGTTTTTACTCTCTCATTGCTTTTTTATGTATTTTGTAAGCCTTATTCGCATAAACACATAGTGATCACGTGTTGTTGTACCTTAGAAGAAATACGATTCGCCACATATCCTTACTGATTGTGTGCTCCGTCCTTCCTTGCTACTGAAATGTTAGAGCCGGTAGCACGCAATATACACGGTATGTAGGATTTTAAAGACAATAGTTTTTTTGGGGGGTCTTCGACGCAAAAATTTTGGTCTCTCTGTCTGTCTCTCTATACATTTACCTGTTTGTCAGTTCCTTACGATACCCTAAACGGGAACAAAGTGGCCAAATAATACTCCAAACGGCGGACCTTATCCACAGCGCCCTTCAGTATTGCTCAAGGTTGAGCGTTCACACTTGTGAAATTGTCAACTTAAAAGCAATTATTACGCATATCTGAGGCACTATACCAACACGTCAATATTATGTGTGTGCATTTTTTACTAGAAAAAGCATTGATAGATAATTCTAAGAACCATGGCGTTATGATGCTGCGCTGACCATGCAACGCTTGCACGAAATCGCAAGCGTCTCTAACGCTTTGATAAGACGACACGGTGGTGGCACCTACCCGTCGCCTTGCGTTCTACCCTTATCACCTCAAAGACGGCCGCGCACGCCACACACTTCATTTTCCAGGATGACTGCCAGATAGCGCTCATGTCTCACGTGAGGTGTGACTTGATGCGCTCGTTCGCATCAGTCCGCATGCTCGAGACAATCTAACGCAACGCCTTCAGAATACCATTCACCGATGTTCTTGCGCAGAACATCAAATTTTGTTCACTTTCTCCAGGAGCAAGACTATTGTCTTTCGACGACATTTTCAGTGTAACATGCAGATACGGGGCCAATTCTTTTATACGAATTGTTCCAATGATTGCGCGAAACGTTTTTCTAGATCAATAGTCTCATTGCTCACTGTGAGCGATTGACTCATTGTCATATCTAAAATAGATACAAAATGATTTGGATGACTTCTACTTAACGCATGAGGAATATAATTAGATTCATGTGAAAGTGTGCACGGTGAAGCGTGGGAGTGCAACACCGTTCACATGAGCTTACATCTTTGAAAACTGTCATATAAGGCATTGCGTGACAGGATCACTGAGTAAGAAAAAAAAATGAAAGATTGTGCTCCAGATGTGTTATCTATACAAGCCACTGCCACTACTTGCACAACGCATGTTATAAAGATGAACGAACGTGACAACCACTTGAAGTTTAGTCGACTAGCTCTCCAGCTGCGTCAGATAAAGCTGCATGAAACCCATCACACTTCAGTGATGAGCAAGGTATTTGTGCATTGGTAGCAAAACTTCTATATAAACTAATGTGTCGAGAACCTGGCAGCTGGGTGCCATCAGCACCTTCTACGTCAATTGTGAACAAACTACAGGAAGCGAAAAATGAAAGATTGAGAGAGAAGGTGGCGATATTTTTTACTAGCTCAATTACGTCAAACAAGTACGCCAAGAAAGAGAACATTTTGTTGAACAGACCCCTATTGCAAAGAAGAAAAAGGATGAGGTAAAATTGTCGCGTTTTGGAGGCTTTCCCGGGTTTCTCCTTTCAAAAGCACTGTTAACATACACTTTTGAAGTGGGCAGTTATAGCCGGACAATAGCACTTTCAGAAACTTTTTTCGTTAAAGGTAACTAATCCTCCAGGAGTTGTCTTTTAACAACGCGTCACCTAAAAAGCTATCGGCACTTATTAGAAAAGTTGTTTTGCATTTTATATTGTAACAAAAAACGTCAGAGCGTCGACGGAACTAGTATTTCACACAGTAAATCGCTTATAATTTCAATAAAGGGAGCACTTTTTTTTCTATTCTTATGTTACGTGTTACTGTGGCAGTTTCCAGTGCTTTTTCATGAGCACCTTGAGTGATTGCCAAAAAAGGTTACACAAAACAGTGGTACGTACACGAATATAACCGTCATGGTAATGAATAAAAGCTACAAGCTAGATCACGCTAAAATCATCTGGACCGGGTACAATGAAAAGACGCTCGAATGGGCACACTAAAAATACGCTGAACCGAACACACTAAAAATACGTTAAACAAAGCCCACTAAAAATACACTGAACCAGGCACACTAAATATTCACCATAAGAAACACACCCAAAACACCAAACCTGTGTTGGAATTCATGCTCTAGTGTGGTGAATACGGGCAAAAACAATAGACACGGGCTGGTTTATTTTTTAAATGGTTCGCAATTGGTATAAACAATACCACTGTGGTGAATTTTCTTAACGTTATTTCTGTTCGCATGGTCTGCGTACCTGCTCGCTTCCCTTTGCGACAGTGTGGTGTTTCTCTAATAAACACTGCCACCCCAGATTCGTTAATTTTGCTCGATAAAGCTGAGTATCCTGAATTGTCAGAATGGGTGTTGCGACGCGAATCAAATACTACTCCTGAAGATTCAGCGCGTTCTTTTTTTGCAGTGCAAGTCCCTTCAAGCAAACAGTTCCGGCTTATTTTTTTTCTCTGTTGATGTGCTGGCGCTTGTAAGGACAACTTTCATTACAATAACCTATGTATTACCACTATGTCCGTAGTGCTAGTTCACTATTTTCAGTGCATGTGTTGACATAGCCTAATGCCTTTTCCTTCAAAAGGTACTCTATTCAGAATTGGAATCAGAAAAGGTGTTTTTTTATTTTTTAACGAAGTTGTTGGGGGTCCGTCAGGTGAAAAGCTGCATCATACAGCTTAGATGTGCCTGAAGGCTCTCACATAGTAGCAGTAACATCAAAATAACCTTCATACATGGTTTAAGTATGTATCCAGAAAAAATCACAGTTTTATTGGAATTGAAAAAAAAGAACATATTGAACAACGCACACATTCACGATGATTGATATGTGGGGTTTAACGTCCCAAAACCACCATATGATTATGAGAGACGCCGTAGTGGAGGGCTCCTGGAAATTTCGACCACCTGGGGTTCTTTAACGTGCACCCAAATCTGAGCACACGGGCCTACAACATTTCGGCCTCCAACGGAGATGCAGCCGCCGCAGCCGAGATCCGAACCGAACAACGCACAAAAACATGATAATTATAAATATACCAATATGATGCAATTGAAAAGAGGAAATGTCTTAATGCATGGCTATACACAAAACAGTGGAAGTTACAACATAAATAAAATGACTTGTATAATTATGTCTGTGAGGCTTATTGGTATAACACATTGTTTACCGAAGCACTGAGGGACACACGTTAACAGCAAACAGAAATTTGAAAGTGTACAAACTGTTCCCTTTATCCCTGCATTGATACTTGCAAAAGTATTCTAAACTTGTTTGTGCGTCAAAATATTTGCATTAAGTTCTTCCTTTTCCCATTTATTTAATATCAAAGGTCGGCTATACCTAGAGATTGCGTAAGGTATAGGCTTCGAGATCCGCTTCCAAACAAGCCAGGAGAATACGGTTTGTCTAGCACGACCACATCAAGTATTCGCAATAATTCAACAGTGATCCGTGAAAAAAACGCAGTGATCTCTTTCTCTGGGAATCAGTTTATTACGAAAGTAAAACCTGTCTCCGCACAGGAAGCTAATCGTTCGTTGTGCATGGTTCAGCCACAAGGGCGAATGCATGAGTACTACAGCAACAAAGTGTGCTGTAACGCGAAAAATGCCGAGCAGCCTAATACTTGCATCACGTACTTCAAGCAAAAAAAAAATCACGCACGAAATGAACAAGCACTGGACAATCAAGGACTAACAACTATCACAAAACAGAATAAAGAGCAACGAAAACTAACTTACATTAAAAGTGTGCATGGGACGATTGCGAACTGCCACAGTTTTTGAGTCTTCAAGTGTGAGTAGAGGTGCTCATTTCGTACACGAAGCCGCATTAGCGAGCGAGGTGATCTTCGTACTTTCTTTACCCCCTGTACCGTTAAAGCGAACATGCGTTGGGAGAATACGCTGTAAAACGCACAAGGAATACTCGATTAGGGAGCGCGTGGCAACGCCATGTAGAGGTGCGCGCATCGCAACACGCGTGGCGACGACATTTAGAATGCACCCAACTACAACCTCATGCGCAATCTCGCTACTGATGAAGAAACAGCACATAAATTGCTGAGATCTGAGGATCAATCGTAGTTTATATTGTACATCAATGACCCGCTGTTGACAGGCTTAAAAGTGTACGCTCCATGGCTTGGTGGTATCACGCCGCGTGCTGTGGTGCAAGAGGTCGTAGGCACAATACCTGGCTATTTAACCTCCTTTTTGTCTTTTTTAACGCAATCTGTAGGTAGTTAACATCATATCTGTGGCGCAACCATGTCAGTGGAGGCGTAGTGAACACCCGCGTGAGATACTTTCATGTAAAGGTGCCTTACCTACTTAGAACATAAATTGGACTACATGGGAACGTACTGTCGAAATTTCGTTCACATTGTAAGCACCTAATGTCATCAGCTGAAGCAATAAACACAGTTAATTCAAGGTGTCCTAGAAGACTTGCATTTAGAAAGAGATACATTTCAAACGAACACGTATCTCTCACCTGCCAGTTTTCACCTCTTATACCCGGGCCGTGTACACAACCTCCCACCGCCGGTGCATCGGCACTCACCCGCCTACGCTTCCAGCACATGCTGTGGGAGTGCCCGGCACAGTACAGACACACTAACGCCACGACCCTTTTGTCGAAGCTCCATGAGGCTCTCCGGAGCACCGCTCTTGACGACCAAACCTGGGCGATCGAGCACGCCCGTGAGGCGGCGTTGAGGCAAGCCATTGACGTCCTTTCATTTGAGGCCTAGGCCCAGCCAACTAAACCTGCCGGTTTCTTCAATAAAGTCTATTCCTCCTCCTCCTCAATCGAAGAAGTGATGAGTGCCCACTGGGTGGCTTAAGGAGACTGAAATATTGGTCTTCATTTTTGAGAGCTTTCATGC